ACAAAACATGATGCACCCCCGGCCTGACCAACCAAGCATCAACCACCCATGGACCCCTCCGGAACGCAGCAGTCTCATTCTTCGCCAGAAAAGAAGGAGACGGCTGCAAACGAACAAAACTATCACCACGACCAAAAGAGCAGAAACCCCTGCGCCGGAGGAGAGCATGAAGCTCCCCTACCCGACCCCCAGAGGCCAAAGCCAACAAGAAAAGTGCCTTGGAAAAACAATCCTGGACCGAAGGGGCCACAACGAAACGAGGAGATGAAAGGAAAGCGAGCACTCTGTCCAAAGACCAGGACGGCTCAGGCGACGCATGAGCAGGCCGGAGGTGAAACAATGCACGAGACAGCTTGCGAAACGGCGCAGACGTAACATCGATACCGAAAGCAAGCTGAAGCGGCTCCGCCAGCGCCGCACGATACGAAGCGACAGTGTTAGGCATAAGATGACGGTCCTGAAACAACCACGAGAGGAAGGACAAGACCACCCGAACAGACAAGGAGCTAACACGACGAAGACGCAAAAAGAAACGGAAGGACCGCCAGGAAACTTCATACTGCCGCCGAGAAGAAGCCCTCAGGTGGGACACCAACAAGGAGGCCACCTGATCACCATAGAGATGATGATAGACTCGAGTCAAAAAAACCATACGCGAAGACTCGAGGAGAAGATCGAACCAGCTACGTGACGTACCGGCCCGATCTGCTGAAAGAGGCGGAGCCGCGGGAAAACCCTCGGGTTCGGACACCGAGCAACCAGCGCCTGAAACCAAGGCTGGGCCGGCCACCAAGGGGCCAGAAGGACAACTCTCCCCTGGTAAGTCTCTAAGCGAGTCAGGACCTGGAGCAACAGCCGAACTGGGGGAAAGAGGTACAGGAACCCCCACCTCGACCAGTCGAGCCGAAAGGCATCGACCCCGACGGCCTCGCAATCGGGGAAGGGCGCCGCATAAACGGGAAGACGCCGCGACCACGCCGACGCGAAGAGGTCCACCTCGGGGCGCCCGAACGTCTGGCAAAGCCAACGGAAGGACTCGTCGTCGACCGTCCACTCCGTGGAGAGGGGAACGAAGCGAGACAGGGCGTCGGCCAAGACGTTGGACACGCCCCGTACGTGAACCGCCAGGAGAGCCAAACCCCGAGAACTCAGCAGACGAGTCACCCGAAGCGACCAACCCCAAAGAGACAAGGACCGCATCGAACCCCCGCGGTTCAGGCAATGAACCACCGGAGAGCAGTCCGAATGGAGCCGAATCGTCGATCCGCGGGCCACCCGAATCCTCCCCAGAGCAAAGGCTCCACACAACCCCCAGAGGCCAATCCCCAGGCACAAAACGGCAGCAAAGCGCCACTCCACAACCGGACACAGGAACAAGGACACGCCACCGTGAAACACGGTACCAATGCTCACGTGCAGCAGCAGCAGCAACAGGCACCACTGCAACATGCAACATGTAAATAGCAACTCCCCTCTGCAAAGGCAGAGAACGGAGCAGGCAGACCCCAGACAGGGCCAACGGAGACACGACAAAACCCTGCAGGCCCAGAAACCTGCACCAGGCGACCGACGGCGGAGAAACCCCGCTCGATACCTGCTGGATGAGGTACTGGGAGCTCTTTTACACCTCAAGCCCGGCCCAAGGTCAGGCCAGACCGGCCAGAGGATGGCCCACCAGGCAGCTGCTAGGAGCAGTCCACCGGCCCACATACCCCCACAACCAGGACGGGCCGGAACTGCCATACGAAAACAGGCCAGTGCGCCCTGGAAGTCCACGGACGAACCAGCAAGAAGGCTTATGCTCGCAAGTAGGTCGTGTAACAAGCACAGACCACTGAAGGTAATACAGTGTTCCCCAAAAGTGCCAATAGCACCACTGCACTCCACTGGTACTATCCCGCAAGTTCTACCAGATAGGCGGGACCCAAGAGCCAGAGCTCAAATCCTGCAAGCACAGCCAGGAGCCTCACCAGGTGAGTACAGAACCAACCCTACAACCCCCACACCTCACAACATTAAAAAAGGAGGGTCCCCTGAACGACTCCAGCATGGGTTGGACATGCACAGGAGGGGGACAGGAAGGGGTGATAAAGGGACAGTCACTGGTGTGCGAACGGTCTCAGTCGTACAAAATTATACCTAAATAAAGACAGGTATATGAACACCGCCGCATCCAGCGCCCGGCCCAAAGACGCCAGACCGCAGAAACTCACCTGGCGAATGGTGGCTCGAACTTGACACGACTCAAACGTGCCCAGAAGAACTTGGGAGCACCGCCAGGTGAAGACGCCAGAGCCGGACCCGCAGGAGAACAGGGAGAGGCGAAGGAGGCGGTCCACACCCATGACACAGAAAACCGCGGTGTCCTCCCCACAACTGGGAACCAGGACACCCCTGGCGCAAAGGGGCACATACCGCAGCCAGGGAGAAGAACGAGAGGCGAAGCACTGTAGCAAAAAAGGGCGCAAAACCCCAGCACTGAACCATCGCCCAGACCAAAACAAACTCCACGGCGCATGCGCATAACACGCTGGCCGAACCGCACACCCTCCCTGCGGGAAGGCGCCAGCCAGGACTATTGCACGAGAAAAAGAGCCAAAAGAGGAAGCAGGAACAATAAAACCGGCCAAAGAAGCAAAGAGCCCAAAAAAAGGGAACCCAAACGGGCGACAAGTAGCCCAACCGGGCGACAAGTAGCCCAACCGGGCGACAAGTAGCCCAACAGGGCGACAAGTAGCCCAACAGGGCGACAAGTAGCCCAACAGGGCGACAAGTAGCCCAACAGGGCGACAAGTAGCCCAACAGGGCGACAAGTAGCCCAACAGGGCGACAAGTAGCCCAACAGGGCGACAAGTAGCCCAACAGGGCGACAAGTAGCCCAACAGGGCGACAAGTACTAGGAGCCGACAGACGTTCCAATAATGCGGGAAGTAGCGAAAAACCTTCCCGTACCCTCGAGAACACAGAAGCCAACACTAGTCCCGAAGGCACACGAAGGCGCAGGCGCACCCGAGATCAAAAGTCACGCAGAACCCCATCGAACGGAGAAACATGACAAAAACACCGTCCCAAAAAGCGGGGGAGGAAACATCCACCCACAGGACGGAACCAACCGACTCAAAGGCCAAGGAACCGAGCCCGGGGAGGGGCCGACGTCCAACAGCACGTACGGCGAGTGGGGAGGAAAGACCCCACTCCGCGTAACCACAAGCCCCGCCGAGAGGGGGATAAAACCCCCCACGGGGTCTAACGGGGCCAAGGCCCCCCCAAGTCAGCCCCTCCCCAGCCCCGGGAACCTACACGACAGGCCCCGGGGCCGAGCCGTTCCCCCAAAGCCCCGGCCGTACCAGAAAACCGGGGCAGCCGTGAAAACACTAAGGAAGGGAGCCCACTGGCAGACTCATACAACACGGCTGGAGGAACAGGCCCAAATGCCCCCGTCACTACCCCGGAAGGGGAATTCCCCGAGACTGCCCGAGTCTCAACACCACCAAACACCCCGCCCTGAACCTACAGACGGTAAGGAACCGGATACAGGCAGGAAGGGTGAACCAGGGGAAAGACAAGGGGGCGTGGATGGAACCGAAGCAACCAACACCCCCAAGTCCCAAAACGAAATACAACGGGGCAGCCCCGGGGCTCCCGGGGAGGAAACCACGAGAACGTTGCCACCACCAAGGCTCAAGTGCAACGCCCCTGCTGCCCGCACCCGCTTTGTTAGCACAACTGGGTAACCGAGCCACAACGAGCAACCAAACTCGCAGGACACCGGGTCGAAGGTGTCACCGACCCCACAGGCAGCAGACGGAGGCAAAACAGAGAGTCACCCAGAGACAAAAGGTGAGAGCAACCCTCAAACTCGCTGGAAGCGAGGGGGGGGCTCTGGGGTCACATCCATCGGACCCGCGCGCCCCCAGGGGTTTCCCAGGGTCCCGAGCGTTTACTTTAAGAGGACTCGCGCTCAGGTAATCCCAGGCAGGGTACTGCTAACCGGCACCCAAGCTACCAAACAACTTTCTAAGAGCTGAACCCCGGGACGTGTACACTCACGGGGACCTAGCAGGGGGTACCACCAGAAATACTCAGAACACAAGGGACACAAGGGGCAAGAACGAAGGCAGACCCCCCCACCAGGTATATAAACAAAAGAAAAAGAAAAACCCCGCAAGAGGACAGCGTACCCAAGCGGAACAGAGCCGGCCGCTATGATTGGTAAAGACAAGCTGCACAGTACCCCGCGCCCCACCAGTGCAAACACTGCCCCTTACTCTAAGGCGAACAAGGGAGACAGAACACCCGAGCACACAAAGAGCGGCCGAAAACCAAGCGGTAAACGGCCAAGCAGGGGCAGGACCCAAGGAACTTGTGGAAGGTGGCCCCAAGCCCCAAGGGCAGTACTTACAGGGCACCTAGGGAAGGGAACCCTAGGCGCATGCAGCCCGAGTACTGAAGAATCACACCCGGCTCACGCACCACCTAGAAAACAGACACCACACTCTAGGTACAGTGCTGAAACAACCACTGGAGCCGGAGCACATAACCATTGCCTATAGCATCAGCCGAAGAACTGATGGGTGGATAGCCGGCGTGGGAGGTCTGGGGCTCCCCCTTCCCCCTCCCGGGGAGGGGGGAGCTGCGCAGACAGCGGCGCGGTGACGTATGACGTCATACTAGTTTCCGTGTTTTCTGTTGAAGAGTTCTATTCACTAGTTCGGCTTAGGTAGCAATTTTCACCAGAATAGGGGTTTGTTTTGGAATGCTTACCTTTCTGGATGCTTGACCCGGTCGATGGCAGACATAGAATGCTTCCAACCACACGGGGGTTTCTATAGGCCATTGCTCCCCTTGCCTCTCTGAGGGGGCCAGGTTCTGGCTCGTGGTCCCCGGTAGGCCCTAGAACTCCATACACATGACTGATGCCAAAGTCTGACATTAGCATATCAGCCGGTAAAGCTCCGGGGAGCCGACGGGGCTCCCCCCAGAAAATGCTTCAAACTAACCTTCGGATCAGCCAACAAGTCATTTTTCCCCCACATTAAGACAACTGGAACATTGACACGACTGAGATCATAAAGCGGTGGGGTTGTCTGGTTATACCGTCTCATATTCTCGGTTTTCCCAAAGTCATAATGTTGAAATTGCCCTGAAATACAAGCATACAATGATATTTATCACTTCACTGGAATTATATATACATGCAATATTTGCATGAGTTCAGGACACCCCTAATTTTAAGACACATGGTGAGCAGTGGACATATTTCTTGCCTAAATGCTTGGACTTTGATCCTAAGCTGCACCCTGAAGATCAATGGGGGTTCATGGAAAAATAAAATGGAGAGACTGTAACTTCAAGCTTCACTATTGTACAGCATGAAACCTCTATTTTTATCACGTTTTAATGAAAAGTTTCAAAATTCAGTTATAAATACAGTATATTGAAAATAAGGCTTGACTATTGTACAGCATGAAACCTCTATTTTTATCTCGTTTTAATGAAAGTTTCAAAATTCAATTATAAATACAGTATATTGCAAATAAGACTTTGACACATTTGTTAGTTGCTTATTATTATAGTGTGACCTTGGAGTCATACTAGCCCATCCTCCTAACAGAATGTCGCATTTTGACATATACTCTACATCAGGCCAAAAATTGTCATACTAGAAAATGGTAGCGGCATGAAAATTTACATAATCCCGTTTTCTGTTTTAGGTCCTCTGGTACGTTAGGAAATCTTGAGAGGACGGGCTGCAGCTCACTAGCTCCTATGGGCGAGCCGCCACTATTGAAGATGATGCACCATTTTAGAACCGTGTGCAAGTGCCCTACGTGGCAAGCCTAGCTGGAGACTGGTAAACAAGCAGCCAAGGATGACGGACAATGGTGTTTACATTTATAATATACTGTTAGGCAAAAAACCAGCATTGAATGTAATGAAACTTCAATTTCTGGGTGAGCCCTGGTGGATTATTGTAGATACTATCACTAATAGTGTACCATCTGTTAAGTTGCATCAGTCATGATGATCAGGCTGGTGGTTGCATTGGTCTAATGATGCAAAAACAAAGGATTGTCTGCTAGCCAGGATATGACAGGAACCTTGCAATGCACCAAATGTGAGGAAGAGGACCCAAACTCATAGGAAGCTGGGTCCATTGGCAAGGCATAAACCAGGTCATGCAGGAGATGCATAAATAAGGCCTTCCTAGCCTCCAAAAGGGTAACCAGAGAGGAGGAAAATCTCTGGAAGGATGCCTGTGGTGAGCTCAAAGGCACCCATAAGTGAACTCTGGAGGAAGCCACATGCAAATTCAACTCGTACAGGTTGGAGGGGAATACAACACCCCCTCCTGCAAAAGAAGACCCCTCTGGGGAAGACACAAGGGACCACAAAAGGACCCAAGGGCCCAATTTTGACTATGGCCTAGTCCCAGAAGCCACAGCAGAAGGCCCTGAAGCAGAGCCATCATCCACACCCACACTCTTGATGCAAAAGTAGAGTCCAGGGAAGAGCCTCCAAAGGAAGAATGGGTTGACTGGTAAGAAGACCCAGAAGACTCGGTGGGGACCAACAGACTCAACTGCCTACATGCCAGAATTGTAAGTGGCAACTCCCGGAGAAAACCAAACCATATCCCAAGCTAAACCATGCCCCAACCCCCGAAACCCTCGGCTGCTTCCGAGCCAGAAGCATGGGAAAAGGAATAGAGGAAGGGCTCCCCAGAGAGGGAAGAGGAGGTGCAGACAGAGCTAAGATTGAGTTAACCAATACTTCCAAATCCCTAAACACCAAGCTGGGCAGCTCTGGGGCATCAAATTATACTAGGCCACCTAGGCATACAACCTAGACCACAAGACGGAAAACCTAAGATGAAGGGTAGGCGCTGCTTGATAAGCCCAAACTTCATCAGGAGGGCTAGTAAGAAGAGTAACATGATTGGAACACACCCACATGATTCAGATTCAATGGCATCACTGACCCAAAAATGCAGCATAGTGGAGGTAGACGGAATGAATAGCACCATGTGGCACTGGCAATGTTCAACCCTCCAACTCTCATGAAGTGAGAGTAGGTTTGGAGGGGGGCATCCATGACCACTAGACCTGTTGGAAGATTCCCAGGGCCCGCAGGAGACCATCCAACAGCACACCCAGGCACTGAGACACCATGCCGGTACAGTACTTTCAGAAAGTTATGTATAAGCCAACACAGCCTAGTTAAGGTGGCAGAGAAGCTGATTTAGTGCATTGAAGTGCAGCAAGCTTAATTAAAACCAGTGCACCCCCACCAACCAAGCTGCTCCTGATCCAGGAAAGACAGAAGCTAAACACCAGACTAACCAAAGCAACTGCCACAACAAGCAAGGACCTCCTCTAAGGAAGCATCTCTCAAACACTCCAGGGAAGATAGCCCTAGCAGCACAAGGGGCTGGGAAGTGCACAGGGAAGAGAACCCTGAGCACATGCTTCTCCAAGCACTCTTTAACGTCTGGCTGGGGGCGCCGATGGCTGTGTGTACAGGACACTGGACATGTAATCCTGTGGCCCGGGTTCGATTCCCAGCACCGGTGAGAAACAATGGGCAGAGATTCATTCACTCTGATGCCCCTGTTATCTAGCAGTAAATAGGTACCTGGGAGTTACAGCTGTTATGGGCTGCTTCCTGGGGAGGGAGGTGTGGAAGGGGTTAATAGTTAGTAACAGTTGAGAGGTGGGCCAAAAGAGCAGAGCTCAACCCCCGCAAGCACAACTAAGTGAATACACACATGTGTAAGGAACAGTTTTAGAAGCAAACGCCATCAAGCCAAAAATCACCAGGACCAGAGCGATAGAGCAACCTGACACACTACCATCAGCAGAGAACTGATGGAGTAGCCAGCTAACAGTGGTCTGCCTTTTTCTTCCCCCTAATGAAGAAGGGAGATAGGGTGAATAAGCTAGCACTAGTTTCATAAAAATTTGATTGTTTAAATACATTGTTGGGGGGAGTTCTATAGCCAAATCCACATCCAGGCACCCAGACATCTTGCAAAGCCACAGGAAGGAGGTAGCATTGATGGTCCACTTGGTGGAGATGGGAAGGAACTGGTTGTGAGGATGCTGGACACTCCCATGGGGCATGCTGTTTCATGAACAGCATGGCGAGCCAACCCAATAACCCAGTAGAAGAGCTACGTGAAGCAAACTACCCTGGTTGAGACGGTGAACCATAAGGGAACAGTGCAAATGGAGCCAGAACACAGAGCCTGGAGAAATCTGAATCCCCTTAATACATGCCACATGCCTACAAACTCCAAAACCATACTGCGAGCGTGATGGAGAGGAGTGGCTATCTTGAGATCTTGAGGTTATCTTGAGATGATTTCGGGGCTTTAGTATCCCCGCGGCCCGGTCCTCGACCAGGCCTCCACCCCCAGGAAGCAGCCCGTGACAGCTGACTAACACCCAGGTACCTATTTTACTGCTAGGTAACAGGGGCATAGGGTGAAAAAAACTCTGCCCATTGTTTCTCCCCGGCGCCTGGGATCGAACCCGGGACCACAGGATCACACGTCCAGTGTGCTGTCCGCTCGGCCGTCCGGCTGGCGGGGAAACTTCTACCATTCTGCAGGTTTACCTGGGGAAGGCGAGTCAGAGTGCCTTAATGCGGGCTTGTTCACCCTTATGCTTCCTCATGATATTGGCCTTGTGCAGTTGCACGTGCAGGTTCCTACCATTTTGGCATCTTTGGTTGCCGAGGATTTCTGCGCCCGTGGGCATTTGGCTTTGATCTTGCGCTTGTTTTCCCTTCTCGAACTGTCTTTGGGCTGGTTTGAGGAGGATGTGGGGCATTGAGTTCCGGGCCTTCGTCTGGTCGAACAGGGGTCCTGGCTGCCTGTTACTTATTGTTCCTGGCCCTAGGCGGGCTTGTGTCGCTTTGGGTCACGGGTTGCAGCTAGTTGTCTCGACTTCGTGTTGAGGAGCGAGTGGCAGCAGGCTCCCTGGTAAATCCCTCTTTTACTTGTAATTGGTTAGGTAGCTCCAGGGAGCCGGAAGGGCTCTCCATAGAAAACCAGCATTGAATGTAATGAAACTCCATTTTCTGGTATAGTCCCAGAGGCTCCCCAACAACCCTCCCTCCCTCTGTTTTTTTTGACATTCGGCTTCTGAACCAAGAGTGGATAGCCAGTACGGGGTCTGGGGCTTCCCTTTCCCCCTCCCGGGGAGGGGGGAGCTGCGCAGACAGGCGGCACGGTGGTGGGTGTGACGTCATGCTTGTTTGCTTGTCTTCAGATTGGGGAGTTCTGCTAAGCAGTTCGGTTTTAGGTAGTACTGTTTCACAAGTTGGGGTCTGCTTTGGGATGCCTACCTTTCTGGGTGCCTAACTCAGTAGATGGCAGACACCGAATGCTTTGAACCACATGGGAAGGGGGTTTCTATAGGCCATTGCTTCTTGTTTCTCTGAGGGGGGCCAGGTTCTGGCTCGTGGTCCCCGCTAGGCAAGAACTCCATTCGATTTGACTGATGCCATTGTCTAATACATACATATCAGCTTGGTATAGCTACAGGGAGCTGGAGGGGGCTCTCCACAGAAAGCTAGATAAAAGCTATTCAGACATTTAAATAATTATGTAAAATTATATTTGTGGCAACTACCACCACACAAGCCGCTGGTGCAAGTGTCGCTGAGCATTTACTCACTCAATGCCCATAAATTACTACACTTCCTACTCCATCACAGCCAAAGTTGCATACATTTTTTTTTTTTTAGTTTCCCACTATTGGGGAATTCTAACAATACTAGAAAAAATAATTGGGAGTAATTTTTTCTGCACACCACAGGATTGTCAAGTTACAAGTAGTGTAAGAGTTAAATATGTACAATCGCTTTCTCAAGGCTCCTAATTCTTTCTTCTAATGTGGCCATCTACGAAAATTATTAAAAGCAGGATTGGAGCCATATTAAGAGTTTCTATTCATGCCCTAATATTTCATATATGGAGCGAGTTCATCAAATGATATTATAATTTCAACTTGTCATATGATGAACGTTCCCGCAGGTCTGTGAACTCTGGCCGAGCTTCCTAAGCAAATCGGCACTTCACTGCTTCTCAGAATCTCCAAATACTTGTTCAGTGAAGAAACCCAACCTGGAAAGTGGGCACTGCAACTTGAGATTCACTTTAATGAGGTTTGTCAAATCAAGGTCCCATTGTAGAGAGGAAAATGCCGAGACAGAAAGCTAAGAAAGCTTTGTACTTTCATAGAATGGTAAGTATTATAAAATATTTGTATATATATTGTCTGAAATCTCAGTTTTGCACTGGGAAGGGGCAAAAATATTTTATGCTACTTGGGACTGAAAAGATTAATGTTTAAAAGGCTTCCTCTTCAATACTGACCATTCAATATTTCTTGAGCATAATGAGCCAGAGTTCGTATAGATGTTCCCTCAGGAGTGTGACCGAATATTACAGGTAGCCAAGTCTGCAAAGAATATTCAGATATTAAGTATTATTAGTGATATTTATTCCTAGAGGAGACCCCAGTGACTCCCTGAAGCTATCTTACTGAGATTGCTCTATGCCAATGGGTCACATCGTCGAGGAAGTTCCGTTCGACCTACCAGAGACACAACTTGGCTGACACAGTGGCACAGAGAGCAAGTGACAATGTGCCACCACACCGGGAAAGCATCCAGAAAAGTCAGGGAAGTTTTATGGACAACTGGAGGGTTCACATAAAACAAAACCATAAAAACAACTCTACAAATGATTCACACAACAATAATTCACTCAAAGCAGCTCCAAACTCATTAATACTGATCACCACTACCAGGTGACCCAGCTCCTGCCTACAGCCGGCTTCGTAAATCATTGTTACTCATGCTGTGGTGGAGGGTTCGACCAGTAGTGTTCTGATCTGCCAGCTGTGGGCAAACTTCAAGCCAAGTTGACGAGGCCATTTGCATCGTTTGCTTCCATAGTGTTCCCTTCTATTCTATGGGCTTGTTCTTTCTAAGCTTGCCAGGCAGCTGCCACCCTGCAAGTTTCGTTTTCCCGTGTTCAGGGTTTGCAGCTTGGTGCTCTTCTGGACAATCTGCAGTTGTGTTTTTTACACACAGGTGGGCACAAGAACAGATGACTGCAAATTCCTGTTATCAGGCTGAGAGCTTTCCCTTCCCATAGCTTATGGTAAGCTTCACCCACTAGTTTCCCTGGAATACAATCCACGAACAGTTTAACAACCAGGTACCCAGTCACTGCTGAGTGAACAGAGGCATACAGTCAGCAACTAACTTAAGTGCTTTGTGTCTTTCTTGAACATTAGAATTACATTTGCCTTTACCCAGATTTCTAGTAGCTCTCCCACTTCTAGTGAAGTATTGAACACTATAGTAAATGAGTAACACAAGATACCTGCAGCTTCCTTCAGTAACCATGAGCCGGGAGCCGGTCGGCCGAGCGGACAGCACGCAGGACTTGTGATCCTGTGGTCCTGGGTTCGATCCCAGGCGCCGGTGAGAAACAATGGGCAGAGTTTTTCACCCTATGCCCCTGTTACCTAGCAGTAAAATAGGTACCTGGGTGTTAGTCAGCTGTCACGGGCTGCTTCCTGGGGGTGGAGGCCTGGTCGAGGACCGGGCCCCGGGGACACTAAAGCCCCGAAATCATCTCAAGATAACCTCAAGATAACCATGGTGATATCTGGTTTGGTCCTACTGCTTTTGTTACATCGTTTCTCCAGGTGCCATTTAACCTCTTCTTCATTAATTTCAATTATGTCTATTGTTGTTTTTGGTCATATGTTATCACCCCCCTACTTGGAGAAGAAATATTGCCGGAACAACCGTGGACATCTTCAAGAGGAAACTAGATTTATTCCTCCAAGGAGTGCCGGACCAACCGGGCTGTGGTGGGTATGTGGGCCTGCGGGCCGCTCCAAGCAACAGCCTGGTGGACCAAACTCTCACAAGTCAAGCATGGCCTCGGGCTCCAGGCTGTGGTGGGTATGTGGGCCTGCGGGCCTGCTGCCAAGCAACAGCCTGGTGGACCAAACTCTCACAAGTCAAGCCTGGCCTCGGGCCGGGCTGTGGTGGGTATGTGGGCCTGCGGGCCGCTCCAAGCAACAGCCTGGTGGACCAAACTCTCACAAGTCAAGCCTGGCCTTGGGCCGGGCTTGGGGAGTAGAACTACTCCCAGAACCCCATCAACTGACTGAATTACTGACCCCGCCCAAGATGCAACCCCACAGCATGTTAACTCCTGAGTACCTAAGTACTTCTAGATGATCATGTGCATTAGCTGAAAGGAAAGGCTTGATGGATATGTTTAAAACCAGAGTATCCACAGAAGATCGGTATAAGTGTACCACTTGATAGCTAGACAAACTTGCATAAAGACTACTGTACTTAATATAGTACTTGGTTTAACTGCACAGATTTTCTCTCAATTTACAATACACAAATTATGAAAGGAAAATTTAAATAAACATTTTTCCATATACTGTACACACCATATTTATTTGAGCAGCATCATATCCTGTCAAGAAAAATACTGCATTCATGCACATGATTTCTTCATATTCAAAACTGTCACAAATGTATTCTGTCCACTTGATGAAATTTTCGTTATGTGGAAGAAATTCGTAGTCTCCAAGTAATTCCAAGAGCTCCTAGAATAGAAATGTTAAATTTTAGTTTCTCATTATAATGTTCTTTGAAATAAGATTAATTTTTCTCAAAACATAAAACTAAAATTGAAAAAATATAGAGGTTTGTAGCAAGATTAGTATCAGTACTAAGAGAATTATGCTATGAGGATAGGCTGAGGGAACTGGATCTCATTATCAAGGAGGAGAGAAGAAACAGAGGAGATCTGATTACAACACACGAGATACTGAGGGAATAGACAACGTAGACAAGGACAGCCTCTAAAATTAAGATAAATTAGGATGAGAGGACATAGGTGGAAGCTAGAAATGCAAATGAGATGAACTACAAGGAAATACTAATACACTACACAAGTGGTCAATAAGTGGAATGCACTAAGGAAAGATATTGTGGAGATGATTTGACAACTGCAAACTTTTCAACAGTAAGTTATTTTCTAAGTAATTATAAATTGATAAAGAGAATTGAAGTTGGACTTCAAGAGTTGGGACCCAGGAATTGAAGCTCAATCTCCACAAAATCAATTGAGTACACACACACACAACTTGCATCCACAACTTCTTCCAATTTTCTTGAGAAGTTGTCATCCACAACTTTATTTAAGGCCAGATTCAATAAAGAATTCAAAAGAAGAATAGTTAAACTACAATGTATCAGGTACAGCGAGGCTAGTAGGCAGGGCATAAACCCTGTGTTGAATGTAATGAAATGTCACTTTCTGGGTGAGCCCCGGTGGCTCTCTGAAGCTATTTTGCTGAGATGACTCAACTACTAGGTCACATCTGTGGAGTTCTGTTTGGACTACTGAGGACCAGCACCAGAACCTGGTGCCTTAACAGAGTACAAGTAACACTCTGCCACTCCACCAGGAATGTGCTTGGAAAGTCAATGAACCAATAAAGACCACTGCTGGGTTCAAAGACTTAAACCTCAAAACTGTCATATGAACTTGGCCAACAATGTAAACAAATGATTCTCTCGAAAGCAGCAGAAGCTTGTTAGCAGTAACCCCCACAAGTTGAGGGATGGGGTGGGGGGGGGGGGAAGCAGAGCCTCCAGTACCCACTGGGCCATAAAGCAGATGATCCTGGTCGGCTCGGTGAGGGCTGGTCACGAAGCCCCAACCCTGAGCTGACGTGTCCATAAGTTAGGGAGTGTCTGTGTCCTTCCTCCCTCCCAAGTTAGGGAGGGAGGAAGGTGCCAAGGAACTGAACCCTGAAAAGCCCAAAGAGGAAGCCAGCAACACAGCAACCAACAAAAGGCTATCTGGGTCCGAACCCAATGAGCACGACAGTGGTGAAAGGGGCAGAACAGTTCCAGAAGAACCCTGCTTAGTAGAAAAACCATGCAGGCAAAGTTTAGGCCCCCATAAAACCACTGAATTGCCCGGGGCTGCCTTAACATAAGTAGGCAATGGCAGTGCTGCCAAAGCAAAGCTGCCAGAGGAAGAGAGCAGAACGCTGACCAAGAGAGCCCCCCACATGAGGCCCAGCCAAGTCTGAACCTGGGACAGAACTAACTGGGACTTCTGCCAGTTCACCTGGAACCCGAACCTAGCAAGTTGGAAGGAACCAGATCCCTGGCTAGCTGACATGCGGACTAACTGGGGGCCCAAACCAACCAGTCATTAAGTTAGGCTAGAACACAAACTCAAAATAACCGACTCAAGCCAATCTGGTGAAAACATCAGGAGCCAGATTCAGGCCAAAGGGAAGCACCCTTAAGCGGTAGGCCTGACACCCCACTCAAACGTTCCCAGGATGTTCCCCGTGTCCTGGGAACAAGTGAGAGCAGACAGTCACTGTGAGTGGCTCAAAAGAGCCACCCAAAAACACCTAAAACACAGTCGACACTTCAAGCCACCCGAGTGCAAGAATAACAGAAGCCACACAAAGCTTCAAAAGAAAAACCCAATGTTGAATGTAGTGAAATGCCAATTTCTGGAGGAGTCCCGGTGGCTCCCTGAAGCTATTTCCCAAGATTAGCTCATACTTAAAGGTCACATGAGCTGTGGCTAGTTCTGTTTAGTCTACAGGGAACTAAAGCCAGAAGCTGCTTCTCTTCATAGAGGGGCACAGAGAAGATGACACTCCATTATTTCACCAGAGGATGCCTCCAGAAAGTCAGCACAGCTTGACAGGTACTGAAACGTACACAAAAACATAGCCTCAAAAAAATGCAAAACACTACTACAAATGAACCGCATGAAACAAAGGATTCACTCAGCTTGAAACTCATTAGTACTATTTACCACTGCCAGGCAGCCTGGCCCCAGCTCCCAGGGGCAGAACACCTCAACTATGTAAACATACGATTGAATCTCTCGAAACCAGCGTGAGTTCGTTTGCCTCGCCTTCCCCACTCATTTAGGGGGAAGGAGTGGAAGGGGCCCCACCACCTCCAAGGGTCTGAAGCTGTCAGTTCTGGAGTATATGCACAAGTAAGGCCCAACTGATGACCTGGAAGGCAAGGGAGGATCAGGAAGCCACCCAGGGCTCGACCAAAAAATTGGTGTTCAATTACATTCGATTCTAGTTTTATGGGGGAGAGCTCCATGTGGCTCCCTAAAGTTAATTACCCATGGAGAAGGAAGAACACAGGGAAACTTACAAGGCAAAACTGCAGGAATCAGGATGAAGAAGAGATCTCTTGATGAGAGGGACAACCCATGCCACACAAGGAAGCCGAGGCCCAGAATACCAAATACCAGGCAGCCAGAAACGTGTTAGATTGCCAAAACCTCCGCACCTGAATAGTGGCCTAGGACATATTGGCAAACACAGCCACGAGACCGGCATACTTCTGAACATCATGGGCACGGCAGTACAGTAGGTCGCAGGCTGGCTCTACTTAATAGCACTGAAAATGACTTGAGAAACATGGAATCAAGAAAACAGGATGAACCCACAAAGTGCCCACCAAAGCAGAATCGGTGGTATGAAGATAGTGGTGAGCTACCATCAGACACAGAACATGATGCACTCCGCCTGACAAACATAGACGCATAGGCCTCCTCCAGAAGGCAATCAACTTATTGTTCACCAGAAAAAGAGACAGCTGGAAGTGAATAAAATGCTTAATAGTGCTAAAGGAACACACTGCACCTCTGGAGGAAGATGTCAGGTTGGGGAGCATGAAGCTCCTCAACCTGACAACTGTTGGATAAGACACTAAAAACAAAGCCTCGGAAAAAGAATCAGACTGAAGGGGACCACAATAAAAAGAGAAGGGAAAAGAAAGGCAAGAACACAATCCAAAGACCATGTATACTCAGGTCTTCACCTCCATCACGAGCGGGATGGAGGTGAAACAAGGTGCGAGATAGCCTGCAAAATGGTGCCAAGGTAGTATCAGTCCTGAACTCAAGCCCTCCATAAAGAAAAAAATGTTCTAGGTTTTACATCAGAACACAGCTACCACCTCCATTTATTGATGCAAAGAACCTTGGAGTCAAAATCCACTACTCGCTAAAAGTTGCACAACGGGTAGGAGCAGAAGTCAGAAAAGCTAACCAAACCCTTGGAATAATCAGGCATACCTTTGACTTTCAGGAAAATAAAGTAGTGATTCAATTGTATAAATCTCTGGTGTGGCCCCAGTGGATTACTGTATCCAAACATGGAGACCTCACTTTCAGGATTACATAGCTACTCCGGAGAAAGTGCAACACCGGGCAACAAAAATAATTCCAGAACTACGTTATCTCTCGTATCGGGAACGGATGAGGGCTACAGGGCTAACAATGTTGCAAACCATGCATTACAGGGCAGCTCTCATTGAACGCTTTAAAATACTGAACAAGTTGGAGGATGTTGACCTGGACAATTTCTTCAAAAGTTCACCTGTAATACAAACAAGGAGCAACAGTTTCAAGCTCAACAAGCCACAATGTAGGACAGAGAATAGATGCTTTTTCACCCACAGGGTTATAAACCCATGAAACTGCCTACCCGCCAAAGCTGTAAATGGCAAAATCTGTTTAAGTTTTAAAATCTACCTGGAAAAGATGAAGGCAAATAGGGAGGGACTTTCGACAAACCATGGGCTTCCTGTCCTCGTTGAGGCCACCAGGGTTAGTGGCCTTCGGGTAAATCGGGTAAATTTATCTAGCTACCCCAGCCATTTACTCTTGCCATTCACCTGTCTACTACCAGTCTACTTGAAAACAATAAACATAAATTTAGTCAGGTTATCATAAGATTCAGGTAGCTGAAATTTTGATTACAGAATTCTTACAGTAGTCACAGGTGTGCAACTTCTGATAGTTAAGTACTGTACAGAGAAAAATTGAGGGTTTAACTACAAGACCATTGAAAATTTTGCTGTCGTTTAAAAGACAATAGAAGTAAATATACATTTACACCAGATGGATAAAGAAGAAAAGTGTGTGATCAACTTGTGACTGGACAAATAGCAAGTTTGATCAAGCAAAAAAGTCTGAAAAGACCTACTGCATATTTAAGTCCATACAACATATCTTCAACAAATCAAATATTAGACAATAAGAGACACTAACCTCAATGGTTGAGGTAATTGGAGCAAGGTACTTGATTGGGCTGGTAACATGCCCAACTGTGGCCACAGGACCCAAACCGAACATGGCCTTCACTTTACTATTATACTCTGGCTTGGTAGCCATACATGCAAAAAAAATTGTTGTTCCTGAAATGTTTTATAGTATATTAATATTGATTTCCATTATGTGCAAATTTAGCATCTTAAAGAAGAAATTAATGAAATGCCAAAAACATGCACTTGTACAAAAAACAGTGTTGAATGTAATAAATGGCCATTTCTGGGGGTGCCCCGGAGGTGCCCAGATGCTACTACAGTGGTACCTCAGCTTATGAATTTAATCCGTTCGCAGAGACGGTTCGTAAGCCAAAAATTGCAACCCAAAACAAATTTTCCCCATGAGAAATACTGTACTAATATAAATTGAATTAATCCGTTCCACACTCCCAAAAATATTAACTTCAAAATAAATTTCATATCTAATTCACCCAAGTATTTAGTACTATGAGTATGTACAAGATATTGCTTACCTTTATTGATGACTCTTGTTGACATATGGAAGACAGTGAGGCGGGGGATGGATTGGTACTAAGAGGACCTTTTCTTTTCCAATCTGCTACATGGTTATTTTGTTGATATGGCAGATATATTACAATTATACTCTACATATAAGATCATTTTAATCCAGCATAGTTGAGGCAGTTGATATTGGTAAGGTTTGTGACGTTGTGTACTGTGACTTTAGCAAAGATTTTGATACAGTACCACATGAAAGATTAATTCAAAAGATAGAGGCTCACATTATTGGAGGTACTATATTAAGTTGAATTGGGGCATGTCTATACCAAAGGAAACAGTGTTAATATAAGTGGAGTTAAGTCAGTGGGAAAAATATTGTAAGTGGAATTCCTCAATGCTCTTTCCTGGGACCTCTTTTATTCATAATATATATAAATTTAGATTCCGGTTTGAGCAGCAATATTTGCAAATTTGCCGATGGTACGAAAATCGGGAGGGAGATAAACACACTCATTATCACTTCAAGATGATCTAAATAGGGTTTTGAAATGGTCAAAAGATTGGTAGATTCAGTTTAATATTAACAAATGTAAGGTTTTGAGGCTAGGTAATGATGAGTTACAAGATACGAGCTAGGTGGTGATTGCGAAGTTGGATTGTGAAAGGAATCGGGGAGTTATGATCAGTAAGAATTTAAACCAAAAAAATCAATGCATAAATATTCGTAATAAGGCAAATAGGACACTGGGATTTATTTCTCGAAGCGTTAGTAATAAAAGACCTGGTGTTGTTCTTCAGCTATATCTTGCTCTTGTTAGGCCCCATTTAGATTATGCAGTTCAGTTTTGGTCGCAATAGTATTGAATGGATATAAGTTAACTAGAACGCGTCCAGCATAGGACTACAAAGTTAATCCCGCAAATCGGAAACCTGTCATATGAAGAAAGAATGACTAAGCTTAATTTACTTCTCTAGAAAGGAAGAGAATTAGGGGTGACATGGTGTAAAAGTGGATGAATGGGCATAACAAGGGAGATACTGATGAGGTATTTGGAGTATCAACACAAAATAGAACACAAAACGGAGGGTATAAAGTGAATATGTTTGGATTTGGGAAGGACCTGGGTGGGTGCTGGTTCGGTGGCAGGGTTGTTTTGTGTAGTAAGTTGCCGTGTCACATGGTGGAGGTGGGAACTCTTGATTGTTTCAGGTGTGGGTTGAACATATATACAGTATATGAATGAGATTGGGTGGATATAAATAGGAGCTGCCTCGTACGGGCCAATAGGCCTTCTGCAGTTGCCTTCATGCTTATGTTCTAATATTCTTACATTGGTTATGAAAGTTCTCATAGTGCAGTTTGCTTTGTTCTCGACTCCCAACAAAGAATCTCGGATTTTATTTCCGGGCGGGACAGAAAATGGTTGGTCATGTTTCCTTTCACTTAATGCATCTGATCACCAAGCAGTAAATAGGTAACTGGGAGTTAGGCAACTGTTTTGGAGTTATATCATAAGGAGGGTCAGTAGTTTGACCTTGTGGGGGACCTCAATACAAGCCTACAGAATATGCATACACCGGCTTCCTGTCCCTGACAAAACAAATTACAGTGGTACCTCGCATAACGAATTTAATCCGTTCCATGTTCGTCATGTGAAACGGACGTCATACAAAACGAGTGTCCCCCCATGTAACCAGTGTGATGCACTGTGTTTATTGTGAAATTCCCCCAGAGTGCATGACATCAAATGTTCCCCAAAATATCATTTTTCTTTGCAAAATGATAAATTACCTTCCCTGAACATGTCTATGTAAAAATAATTACCAAATTCCACTTACTTTGGCTGTGAGGGCGTGGACAAGGTGCGCTGTGACGTCATCAGGGCCTGGTCGCCCGTGTGTGAAGCTCCCAGACACAGTCGCGCAGGCCATTCAAGCACCGCGTGTTGCCACAAATATATTTTCAAATATTTTTTCTATGCATTTCCAATGCGGTTTTATTTGTTTCTTTTATCGTATATGATGCATATTTGTGACCTTTACAATATGTATACAGTAGAATGTTCATAATTTTCCATGGAACTGTGATACATGTGTCAGTAATGTGTCCACAATAAATGTTTATTGTCACAATATTACATGGTAAAAATTCACTAAAATTACAATATGTACAGTTTCACATACTATTTACACAGTAACACACTGTATTACACACTCTACTTTGGAGGTGCGTAATAGTCAACGAAGTAGTCCATGGTACACAGCGCGACTTTGCTCTCCTTGCACCAGCTACAGATAGATTTTCATTTCCTGTTTCATCGTTCTGTGTTCTTGCAAATAATGCACTCGTGTGCACCCTTGGCTTTAGTACTTGTAGGTGGTATGTAGGCAAGCTTGTAAAGCATAAGGTAGTATTGAAACGATTATAGGAAAAGCTCAATTTGTAAGGTAGTCTTGAAAAGATCGCTTTGTAAGGTCCCACACAGGAAGAGATTCAGCTAGCCTCAAAGAGTGTCCATCAGTCAGGAAGAGATTCAGCTAGCCTCAAAGAGTGTCCATCAGTCAGGAAGAGATTCAGGTATTCTTGAAAATATCAATGAACACCACCATGGAAGCCGCTAACACTTCATCTATGCTACTTGTATCAGATGCATCATTACTGAACGCAGAAAACGATTCATCTATGTATCATCTATATAAATTCGAGATGGCAAGGGTGGGGCTCAGAGCTACACCTGGATACGCTCGCTGTATCATCCTCATAGGTGCTGTATCACTGGCATCCGACTGTTGTGTTAAGCCCTTATTGCGCCTAGCTTCACCAATGTTATGACCCTTATGTTCTTCAAACAATAGGATCTGAATTGCACCGATTGAGCGCAGTCTTTCAACACCGTGTGGGACAGGTGTTTGAGAGCCAGAGGCACGTGTGCCACAAATGGTTGCTCACGCACTACTAACCCAGCCAGCAGCCCTTGTCTTTCATATTCGTTATTACAAAAGGTTCGTTCAGTGTTTGTTGGGTAGGCTGCTCCATTATGACAATCTTTCTTTGTTTCAAATGTGTTCCATTTGTTTTGTATTTGTCACTTACGTCTCAATAATGGAGCAGCCTACTCGACAAACACTGAACAAACCTTTATGGCATTTGTCCATTTTTCAAATTATTTCAACAGTTCTTTTATTTTTCATTTTTTTTTATTTAAGAAACATGGAGCAGCCGACCTGTAGACCGAACGAACCTTTTTGACATTTGTACTGGTTTTCAATATTCTTCATTTTTTTTTATTATTTACGTTTTTTGTATGTAAGAAACATGGAGCAGCCTACCTGCCAACCACCGAACGAACCTTTTGCTATAAGACAAATGAAAAATAAATATTGAACACATTTGAAGAAAGGAAAATGTCATAATGGTTTATTCAGTGTATGTAAGGTAGGCTTCTCCATTATTGAGACGTAAATGACAAATACAAAACAAATGAAACACATTTGAAACAAAGAAAGATTGTTATAATGGAGCAGCCTACCTGCCAACACCGAACGAACCTTTTTGACATTTGTTGTATATAAGACATTTCATTTCTTTTTTTCTACAAAAACGTCAATGCTTTTCAACATCTCAGCAGTCACCCTTTTATATCCCAGCATCATTAGCATCTTTAAGCTAGAACAACATAATTTATGTGCATCGTCGGAGGCGTCTAGGAATGTGCAAGAAGCAGCGCGACCCCACTGTGTGGTGTTGACGTTATTCAAACCAGCGTTCGTCATACGGGACGATTTGACGCTGATCGGGCCGTTCGTTACCCAAAATGTTCGTCTTTTGGGGCGATCGTTATGCGAGGTACCACTGTATAATGAAAGCTTAGTTAACTTTTAGTGCAAAACAGATTGATTGTATATAAATTATTGAGAAATCTCTAATAAAAATTTGACAATGATTAATCGCTTACCCATACTGTGCCCTATATAATAGAGCTGCTCGTGTCTAGTGGTAGCCAGTATGTAGTCGATAACCGCAGGCAAGTCGAGAGATCCCATCTCATCCCAGCTGTGAACCACACGAGGCATCACAGGGTAAAACATTACAGGGATAAATATCATCACTACTACTATTACAACAACACATTTCTGCTTATTTGGATGGCAACTTCTAACACAAGATCTGTAATGTGTGATTTTAAACATCTTGTATACAAAGAATAAAGACAAAATATTGTGAAAAGTAAATTATTACTACAAATTTGAGTTCAACGGTTAGTTATTAGCAGTAAACACTGTTGTAAAAACCAGCATTAAATGCAATGAAATGCCAATTTCTGGATGAGCCTCGGTGGTTTCCCTGAAGCTATGCACTGAGATGGTTCCCACATACAAGGTCACATCAACCTTGGAATTCTTAAGGCCTACCAGGGACCAGTGCTAGAACCTGGTGTCCCCTCACAAAGGTGCAGAGAGCAGTGACATTTTTCCAGAGAAGGCAACCAGAAAGTCGGCAAGTCAAACCACTACTGGGTTCAAGAGACCAAAGCCTCTAAACCCGCCTAATGAAGTCCCCCAACTACGTAAACAAATGATGAATTCTCTCGAAACCAGTGAGAGCTCATTTGGCTCATCTTTCCCCACTGATTTGGTAGGAGGGGAAAGAAGTGGCTCACTACTTGCTGAGGTCTGAGCTGTCCATTCTGGAACAGCTGTAAACACCCACCCAATGACCGGGAAAGGGGAATCGGGGAGCAACCAGGGTTCGACCAGAAATTGGCATTTCATTACATTCAATGTTGGTTTTCTGGGGGATGCCCAGTAATCCAGTCCAGTAGCAGCTTTTCATCGCTACCTGCGGCCCACCAGTTCTGTGTCGGTCGACGCGCTGTGGGATGATCTGGTTTTCCTGGTTCTCTGTTCCAGGGCTCGTGTCTCTCAGATCATCCGCAGTGTCATCAAATATAGCCATCCTGCAGTCTACCCTCGTGTCCATGGTGTATGGAAGTATGCCGATATGTCTTGGGAGCATGTCTTGGGCATTGGAGGGGGGGGGGGGGTTGGAGGTCCAACAGTCTTGGCCACCAGGTACTGTATCTGGTGCCGATGGGACTCTCCACAGAAAACCAGTGTTGAATGTAATGAAATGAATCATGACCCGGGTGAGCCTCAGAGGCTCCCTGAAACTTCATTCCTACAGTTGACAGCTTTTATCATTAAAGAACTGGCTGGTGATCCCTGTGAGCTGGGCTGGCTTCCCCCCCCCCCCTTCCCACCAGCAATGGAGTGTGTGTGTGTGGGGGGGGGGGGGACTATTGAGTGGGGGGTTAGTTAGATGATTGTTTTTTCCTTTTTTTGTTTTGATATTTTGAGGGCATAGGTAGCATTTTTTAACCAGGCAGTAGTCTGTTTTGATTCGCCTACCTTTCTGCGTACCTGCGGGGAGCCGGTCGGCCGAGCGGACAGCACGCGGGACTTGTGATCCTGTGGTCCTGGGTTCGATCCCAGGCGCCGGCGAGAAACAATGGGCAGAGTTTCTTTCACCCTATGCCCCTGTTACCTAGCAGTAAAATAGGTACCTGGGTGTTAGTCAGCTGTCACGGGCTGCTTCCTGGGGGTGGAGGCCTGGTCGAGGACCGGGCCGCGGGGACACTAAAGCCCCGAAATCATCTCAAGATAACCTCAAGATAACCTTCCCTGGTCGATGGCAAGATGCTAAACTTTAAATGTAGTGTTTGGGCCATTGCTTCCTGCATCTCTGTAAGCGGGGCTGGGTTCTGGCTTGCAGTCCCAAGTAGGCACACCAGAACTCTGCGACTGATGACTCCCAAGTAGTGTGGCACCTAATAAGTAAGCTTGCTTCAGGCAGCCTCTGGGGCTCGCCCAGAAACTGGCGTCTCATTACACTCGATGCTGGTTTTTTATGAGTCTTATGTACTTGCATGGTTAACAAGGGCAATGTCTTGCTTAACACTAGTATTCCGACACTCCACCCTACTTACCGGCAGCCTCAACCCACGAATTTGTACTTGTACCCATTATTATACAATTTTTATCTTTTATACCTAGTTCTTTTGTACAAAAAATATATCAGAATATCCTACATTTTGGCATTTCTAGTGAAATGTTGGGTTTGGGCAATTCTGCTAGTAATGTGTAGAAAATATGGTGTCGTGGACATACTTTAAGGAAAACGTAAAAGAAAAAATCAAACCTAAAGTCCCAGAAATGTTTATCATCTGGTGACAGGTGAGTATGGTTCCTGGAATAGTGGTTCCCCCTGGAGTTGCTCAGCCACACATCATATCCCGCATCTGCCATTATGTATGCTGCAACAAATATATAAAATAAATGGCCGAGAAGTTTATAACTAATATATGGAGGACTAAGATTTCAAAGTTCCTATTGGCTGTTGTTATACATTTTCCTGCTGTATATTAGACTAGAGACCTGCGGAGTGTAGCTATGTACTTGCTGCTACTTTTGGTGTATGGCCAAGTGAAGGCATGAAAGCACAGTGACGGTATATTTAAGATGAGGAAAATAAAGATTAAGACAAGTTCCAAAGTGATGAGAGAAATGTTGTTAAATTATTGAAAGAAGAGGAGTCTTGCCTGTGTATTATTGTATTTGTGGTATGAAAAAACAGTAGTGAAAATGAAATGGTAATTTCTGGGTGAGCCCTGGTGGCTTCCTGAAGCTATACATAGAGATCATTTCTATCTACCAGGTTGAATCAGTGATGGAGTTTTTAGACCTACCAGGTTACCTCACCTTGCAGTTAGTTACCTTGCGATGATTTCAGAGCTCAACATCCCCGTGGCCCGGGCCTCGACCAGGTCTTGTTGTTGGACTGGTCAGCCAGGCTGTTTGATGCAGCTGCTCACAGCCTGATGTACGAGTTACAGCCTTGTTGATCAGGTATTCTTTGGAGGCGTTTATCAAGTTTTCTCTTGAGCACTGCGAGGGGTTGGCCAGTTATGTCCCTTATGTGTAGTGGAAGCGTGTTGAACAGTCTCGGGCCTCTGATGTTGATAGTTCTCTCTTGAACACTGTGAGGAGTCGGCCAGTTATGTCCCTTATGTGTAGTGGAAGCGTGTTGAACAGTCTCGGGCCTCTGATGTCGATAGTTCTTTGAGTCAGAACTGGGCCCCCTTCCCCTTACAGACCCACAGTGAGCCAAAACAAACTACTGATGGATTTGGCCTCAAAACCGGCCAAAAGTATTCCCCCAATTATGGAAACAAATGATAGAATTCTCTCAGAACCAGCACAAGCTCATTCGACCCCCCCCCCCCCCCCCTCACTCATTTGGGGGAGTGTTGGGGCCTGAGCTCTGTTCTAGGGTAGATGTACACATTCACTCGATCAAAATCAAAAGATCGCTATGCTCCTAGTTGGAATTCATTCCAGTTCTTGTACTAAAGAAAGAAATGTATCCATAAAATTCATATGTACTGAGTAGATATTACAACTATAAATATTAATAAGTGATAACATTAAGTTCGTAACGTAGTTTATAAGAGAATACTGTTAACTGCTCTTTAAGGAGCGAGACTGAACCCTTAAATTTTTACATGTGTGTGATTCCATACAATTCTTTTGTAATTGTACTGAAAAGGATGAGTTCCCTACACCAGGGTATGTATTATAATTCACTGTGTAGGGAAACAGGAAGCCAGTGTGTATTCATACACGTTTGGCTTTTATCGAGGTGTCCAAGCCCCCCAAACTTGATAGGTAAGCAAATGTACTATGATGATAAAATATCAACATCACTCGACAATCTTGCCAGATGCAACTGAAACTATAAAAGTTAATATAATGCAATGCATTTTACTGATAGGCCACTCAGAAACATCTCGAGCTTAAGTGCTGGTATTGGTAAACATTTAAGAAATTGAACCAGGCCTCGAAGACCTGCCCTAACCTACTGGGAGCATAGACCAGAATTAAACTTGCTCCAAGACCTGTAAATACACTGTACTCACAATAATCCAACTCACCTGGTGCCTTTTCCGGAGGTGCTAGTATCCAACATGCAGACGATGCTAATAATCCATGCTGCATTAGCACAGGCTCCTTGGATTTTATTTCATTCTCGATACGGTTCCCGGTTCCATCAGCACTCGTCTTTGACATCTTACGGCCATGTGGAATTCTATGCAGAGTCAGTATGAAACCATCGGCAGTCGTAACGGTGTGTGTTTCGACTGGATATCCATATTTTCTTATCAGATGAGGCTGTTGATAGTTTTTAATGTTCAGTAATTACCGAGATTGTCTGCATAATTACTCGGGTTAATGATGCACAACTTAATCCCAGAAACATTAGCCCTTTCACTAAAAAACACTACTATATTTGTGCAACAGTAAGAAAATTGAACTTACAAACGCCATGGCTTACTACGGGCTCGCCATAGCCTGTGCTACTTGGAACTTTTTGTTGCAAGTAGCGAATCTTAAACAAGAAGAAGCCATGGCTTATGTCTAGCAGCACTAACTGGCTGACATCATACATCCTTTGACATCCAAACAAGTTCAATATGTATGTAGAGAGTGATAACCTGCTGACAATAGGTGGTGCTGGATCACAGTTTGCTGCAGTGTTAAGGACGATGCAAGGTAAGGTTGCTGTGATGACCAAACCACACACCAGAAGATGAAGAGATGATGACATTTCGGTCTGGACTTGATAATGGTCCAGGACGAACTGAAACGTCGTCGTCTCTTCATCTTCTGGTGTGTGGTCTGGTCATCATATCTTCAGCCACGCTACTGTGACCCAGCGTCTGAACATGGTAATGTTAACTCTACTGCATGGAATATTTGGTAAATTTTAGAGGAAACAATGTAAGCTTAATGGAAAAACAACATTTAACACCAAGATTGAATTGTAACAATTAAATATACAGTACAGTGGTACTGTACCTTTGTTTTCAAATTTAATCCATTCCCAGAGATGGCTAGTAAACAAAAATTAGCAAATTGAGATGAATTTTCCCTGAAGAAATACTAATACAGGCTAATGTAAATTTAACTAATCCATTCCACACTCCCAAAAACATTAACCTCCAAAATACATTACATACATAATACACACAAAAAATTTTTGTATTATAGTATTTACTCGTTATAACTTACTTTTATTGATGACTTTGTTGGCATATGGAAAACGGTGAGGGGGACGGGGAGGAGGAGAGGTGTTAGTATTTGGAAGGGGAGCACCCTTCCATTATATCATCAGGCAGTGATGATTTCTCTGGGGGTACTCTCTCTCCTATGTTTTGCCTGCATGCCACTAGGACCAGGTTGTGGCTCACTGCTTCGTTGTCTCACTAAGAACCATTCCATAGAGACTTGTTTTTCCTCTTATGGTCATTGTCACATGTATTTTCTTAGGTTGAACCTTACCACTGACTTTCTTGGAACCCATTGCATGGTATATAATAATTACTGTACTTTTATGTTCGGAAACTAAAAAAATTTGTAAAACAATTAAATTCTTTACAAAGAATTCAAGTGCAATAATCACTAGGAAGGAGAAACTAGGGCAACCGCGCTTCAGTTTACGTGCCACCAGGAACCACGTGCTCAGTCGATCCATACGTGTACTGTATCAGCAAACTCCCAAAGCGAGGTAAAGCTCGGAAACCGATTCAAATTTTACGAAGAAATTGAGCTCGTAACCCGAAAAATTCGTAAGGAGGGACGTTCGGTAACTGAGGTTCCGCTGTAGTTTAATTTACAGCTTATTGTGAATAATTAATTTTGTATTACCATATATTCCGGTGTATAAGTCGATATTTGAAACCTAAAAAATCTCCAAAACAAGTTGTTGACTTTTCTGCTGAACATAAAATGTGAACCTTTACCACTGAGAGATAAAAAAGTGAAACAGCAGGCCTAACACTCCTTGTAAACCACTTCCCATAACTCTTGCAGCCCATCACAATTACAGCACAAGTGAAATTAGATAATTTCACTTGTGAAATTATCATTTCTCGGCAAACTGGTGAAGGTGGGAGGGAGGGAAGGAGGGAGCCAGGGAACCAGGCTTTTATTATTATTATTATTATAATAATAATATGTACAAGAGTTCTTACATGGTTGTACAGCCCCTAGCAAGTATAGCATTTCATGCAAGTCCTTAATCCTATGTTCCCCGGAATAAGACCCCGCCAAATCATTTAACAACTAGGTACCTATTTTACTGTTGGGTAAACAGAGGCTACAGTTAAGGATTGGCGCCCAGAAAATCCTTCCCCAGCTAGGATACGAACCCAGGACACAAAGTGCGCTTGAAATGCCTGGCGAGGGTCTTATCACTACACCACGGGGGACTTGAGCTTTACATCCCCTAGAAACTTGTTTGATATCCCCTAGAACTTGTAGCCTGATAATCCTTGGTACTGTAGCTTTATCTTAACATCCCTTACAACCTGTAGCTTGACAACCCTCAGACACTTATGAACAGTTATCTTGACAATGCTTGAAGTACTGTATAGGCCTTGCCCAAAGATAATACAATCAGTGTGATATGCACTATAGTGTGTGTTAATTGTGTAATGTCCTCTTATAGATAATTGGTACACATTTAATATTATCACAACAGTACAGTATTATCATTATTATTTATATTATCATTATAAATATTATTACACACATCTCAATGTGATACATCAAATGGGTTCTGATACACCTGAAAAGATACATATTGACGCATCACGATAGTGTGACTACTGTGTATTATCATCATTACTGTATTATAACATATAACATAATAAAAAGATAAAAATGTGGGTTTTCATCATACGTTATTTGTACACGTCATACACAAGTGTGGATTTGTATCCTATAATATTATCACCACCACTATTATTATTATTGCACCTTGAAATCACATTAACATGATATCAGAGAAAATCAGTTGGAGCCATGGAAAGATTTGAACCTGTACTCTGAGTACTCCCAAGCACATGCCTTAGAACACGGGATCATGATACGCTGTTAGTAATGAACCCTGGACTTCAACTGAATCTTCTCTTGAGATGATTTTGGGGCTTAGCCCCCCCACAGCCCAGTCCTCGACCAGGCCTCCTTTTTGTTACACATCCCCAGGAAGCAGCCCGTAGCAGCTGTCTAACTCCCAAGTACCTATTTACTGCTAGAGGAACAGACGTATTAGGGCGAAAGAGAAACTGCCCATTTGTTTCCGCCTCGAACCGGGAATCGAACCCGGAACCTCAGGACTACGAATCCCGAGCGATGTGAAGCTGAAGGTTCTGGGGGATGTCAAGCTGAAGGTTCTGGGGGATGTGAAGCTGAAGGTTCTGGGGGATGTCAAGCTGAAGGTTCTGGGGGATGTCAAGCTGAAGGTTCTCGGGGGATGTCCAGCTGAAGGTTCTCGGGGGATGTCCAGCTGAAGGTTCTGGGGGGATGTGAAGCTGAAGGTTCTGGGGGATGTCAAGCTGAAGGTTCTGGGGGGGATGTCAAGCTGAAGGTTCTCGGGGGATGTCAAGCTGAAGGTTCTCGGGGGATGTCAAGCTGAAGGTTCTTGGGGGATGTCAAGTTGGAGGTTCCAGGAGGGGGATGTCAAGCTGAAGGTTCCAGGAGGGGGATGTCAAGCTGAAGGTTCCAGGAGGGGGGGGTGTCAAGCTGAAGGTTCCAGGAGGGGGATGTCAAGCTGAAGGTTCTGGGGGGGATGTCAAGCTGAAGGTTCTGGGGGGTGTCAAACTGAAGGTTCTGGGGGATGTCAAGCTGAAGGTTCCGGGGGGATGTCAAGCTGAAGGTTCCAGGGGAATGTCAAGCTGAAGGTTCCAGGGGGGATGTCCGAAGGTTCTGGGGGATGTCAAGCTAAAGGTTCCGGGGGGAATGTCAAGCCGAAGGTTGTAAGGGGTTGGCAAGCTAAAATTTCTCGGGATTGGCAAGATAAATGTCCTGGGTTTGTCAAGTTAGTAGTTCAAGGGTTCTAGGCATTATTAAGCTAAAGGGTTTAGTCCCAAGGGGTTACCAAGCTAAACATTCTGGGGGATTGTAAAACTAAATATTCTTGTGGGTCTCAAGCTAAAAGTTTTTGGAGTTGTTAACCTAAATGTTTTCATTTTTTTTAATTATCAGGGGAAAGTGCCATGCCATTATGACTTCATAGAACTTGGAAGGGATAAGGATTTGGGATGGGACGAGGGAAAGAAATGGTGCCCAATCCCTTTGACGGTCGGGGGATTGAACGCCGACCTGCATGAAGCAAGGCCGTAGCTCTACCGTTCAGCCCAAGTGGTTGGGTTCCTAAGGGTTTTTAAACTAAATGTTCTGAGGGTTTTCACGGTAAATAATCTAGGGGTTGCCAAGGTAAAGGTTCTTGGGGGTTGTCAAGATCACGGTTATACGGAATGTCAAGCTAAAAGTTGTGGGGGTTGTCAAGCTAAAATTGCAGGTTGTTATAAAGATATGATATCTGGCTATTGTCAAGCAAAAGGTTCTGGGGGGGTTTGTCAAGCTACATGGGTTCTGAGGGGATTGTCAGGCTACATGGGTTCTGGGGGGATTGTCAGGCTACACGGGTTCTGGGGGTTGTCAGGCTACATGGGTTCTGGGGGGCTTGTCAGGCTACATGGGTTCTGGGGGGATTGTCAGGCTACATGGGTTCTGGGGGGATTGTCAGGCTACACGGGTTCTGAGGGGATTGTCAGGCTACATGGGTTCTGAGGGGATTGTCAGGCTACATGGGTTCTGAGGGGGGTTGTCAGGCTACATGGGTTCTGAGGGGGGTTGTCAGGCTACATGGGTTCTGGGGGGGTTGTCAGGCTACATGGGTTCTGGGGGGGGGGTTGTCAGGCTACATGGGTTCTGGGGGGGTTGTCAGGCTACATGGGTTCTGAGGGGGTTGTCAGGCTACATGGGTTCTGAGGGGGTTGTCAGGCTACATGGGTTCTGAGGGGGTTGTCAGGCTACATGGGTTCTGAGGGGGTTGTCAGGCTACATGGGTTCTGAGGGGGTTGTCAGGCTACATGGGTTCTGAGGGGGTTGTCAGGCTACATGGGTTCTGAGGGGGTTGTCAGGCTACATGGGTTCTGAGGGGGTTGTCAGGCTACATGGGTTCTGAGGGGGTTGTCAGGCTACATGGGTTCTGAGGGGGTTGTCAGGCTACATGGGTTCTGAGGGGGTTGTCAGGCTACATGGGTTCTGAGGGGGTTGTCAGGCTACATGGGTTCTGGGGGTTTGTCAGGCTACGTGGGTTCTGGGGGGGTTGTCAAGCTACGTGGGTTCTGGGGGTTTGTCAAGCTACGTGGGTTCTGGGGGTTTGTCAAGCTACGTGGGTTCTGCGGGGGATTGTCAGGCTACGTGGGTTCTGCGGGGGATTGTCAGGCTACGTGGGTTCTGCGGGGGATTGTCAGGCTACGTGGGTTCTGGGGGGGATTGTCAGGCTACGTGGGTTCTGGGGGGGATTGTCAGGCTACGTGGGTTCTGAGGGGGTTGTCAGGCTACGTGGGTTCTGGGGGGATTGTCAGGCTACGTGGGTTCTGGGGGGGTTTGTCAAGCTACGTGGGTTCTGGGGGGGTTTGTCAAGCTATGTGGGTTCTGCGGGGGATTGTCAGGCTACATGGGTTCTGGGGGGGTTTGTCAAGCTACGTGGGTTCTGGGGGTTGTCAAGCTATGTGGGTTCTGCGGGGGATTGTCAGGCTACATGGGTTCTGGGGGTTTGTCAAGCTACATGGGTTCTGGGGGTTTGTCAAGCTACATGGGTTCTGGGGGGGATTGTCAGGCTACATGGGTTCTGGGGGGATTGCCAGGCTACGTGGGTTCTGGGGGTTGTCAGGCTACGTGGGTTCTGGGGGTTGTCAGGCTACGTGGGTTCTGGGGGGATTGCCAGGCTATGTGGGTTCTGGGGGAGGACTGTCAAGCAACGTGGGTTCTGGGGGAGGACTGTCAAGCAACGTGGGTTCTGGGGGAGGACTGTCAAGCAACGTGGGTTCTGGGGGAGGACTGTCAAGCAACGTGGGTTCTGGGGGAGGACTGTCAAGCAACGTGGGTTCTGGGGGAGGACTGTCAAGCAACGTGGGTTCTGGGGGAGGACTGTCAAGCAACGTGGGTTCTGGGGGAGGACTGTCAAGCAACGTGGGTTCTGGGGGAGGACTGTCAAGCAACGTGGGTTCTGGGGGAGGACTGTCAAGCAACGTGGGTTCTGGGGGAGGACTGTCAAGCAACGTGGGTTCTGGGGGAGGATTGTCAAGCAACGTGGGTTCTGGGGGAGGACTGTCAAGCAACGTGGGTTCTGGGGGAGGACTGTCAAGCAACGTGGGTCCTGGGGGAGGACTGTCAAGGCTATACATTCCGGTGGTTGTGTCAAGAGTTGGGCGAGAAGTACTCACAGCATCGAGTTCAATATCGGGGTTGTACTCGGCGGGCAGGCACTGCAGGGACTGGCACTGGGCCCACGCGCGTGCACTGTGCCACACCACCAGGAGCAGGAGCTGCGAGTGGCACCACATGTTGCTCCCTCGCACTCACAGGCAGTAGTGTCGGACTTCCTCCTGCATGAGTGACCTTGAAGGGAAGTGTGTGCGCGATACGGGATGTGATGGAGAGGGGGACACTCGTCCCTCGTGTTGACTCATGGGTCATGTGATTTGGCGGTGATTCGCGCCCGTGTGTCCTAACACCTAAGCTAACCCCGCAGCTTCAGCAGTGTGTACTGCACTCTGCGGCAATGCGTCAGGAGGAACTCCTGCATGACACAAACCAGCACTAGCACATACACAGCGCTGTGTCACAGCACTAGAGGACACAGCTCCCTGCGGCAACAGCGGGAGTCGCCGAGGTCACGGCCAAAGACCAGCATTCGGACACTTTGTTTACAATCACCCACCCACGCCACCACGACCATAACAACAACAACACGACGGTGGTCGTATCCGATCCTCAACCGACAACAACATAACAACTGACGCATTCATTACCCACGACGCATTGCTCGGATTCCTGGTTCAGCTTTGATGACAAGCGGACGTCTGGACACCACCTCCGCCTGAAAGCCGTCGGATCACGTTCCGTTCGCGATTTTGGATCATGATACTGCCGTTTGGCTTTCCTATTCATCGTCCGGATTGTTAGGACGCTTGGCGCGCACATAGTCTTGGGTAATAGGATAGTGATAGATTTTTAACGTTTTCGGGCTGGTTCTTCGGGCGGGGTTCAAGTTAAAGTATGTTTATTGAGACAAGAATCTTCGGGCAGGGTGACGGTGTCCGGCTCCGGCTTGGCTGAGAGGTGCCGGAAGTTGGGCTCCTGGTGTGTCCTCTGACGTGGTGGGCTCTGTCATCCGGGAGGCACTGCATTTTTTTTTATAAACATTTAGATACATCTGCATTTGTGCAGCTACCCTAGGCTATATGAAAGGGGAGTAGTGTGTCAAAAAGCTAGCTAGGTGGTACTAAAAATCTCCATCACACAGGATGATTAGTCATACAGAGGCATGTGATAAGTAGTCTACACTAGCAGACTCTGGGTACATTAAGAGGATATCATGAACACAAGTCACTGGATGACTTTGGAGTTTTAGTTGAGAGTCGCGTTTTTGGTTTTGCTACCCGTGTTCTCTGTACTTACCTAGTTGTGCTGGCGGAGGTTGAGCTCTGGCTCTTTGGGCCAGCCTCTCGACTGTCAATCAACTGATGTACAGGTTCCTGAGCCTATTGGGCTCTATCAAATCTACATTTGAAACTGTGTGTGGAGTCAGCCTCCACCACATAAGTACTTAAAGCATTCCATTCGTTAATTAACTACTCTGACACTGAAAAAATTATTTCTAATGTCTGTGGCTCATTTAGGTACCAAATTTCCACCTGTGCCCTCTTGTTCGTTTCCCGTCCGTGCTAAAGAGTTTGTCTTTGTCCACCCTTTCAATTCCCCTGAGAATTTTGTAGGTGGTTATCATGTCTCCCCTTACTCTTCGGTTTTCCAGGAACGTGAGGTTCAGCTCCTTTAGCCTTTCCTCGTAGCTCATATCTCTTAGTTTCGGGACGAGTCTGGTGGCATACCTATGAATCTTCTCTTAACTTTGTGTTTAACTAGGTATGGACTCCAGGCTGGAGCTGCATATTCCAGGATTGGTCTGACATAAGGGTGGTATACAGGATCCTGAACGATTCCTTACACAAGTTTCTAAAGGAAGTTCTTATGTTGGCCAACCTAGCATATGCCGCTGATATCCTTTTGACGTGGGCCCCTGAGGACAGGTTCGGTGTGATATCAACCCCCAGATCTTTCTCTCTATTTGACTCTTGCAGGATTTCACCTTCCGGATGGTACCTTCTGTTCACCCTTCTGCTCCCTTCGCCTAATTTCATTACTTTACACTTTCCTGAGTTGAACTTTAGTAGCCGTACTCTAGACCATTCCTCCAGTTTATCCAGGTAGTCCTGTTGTCTCTGTCTATCTTCATCTGTCTTGATTCTTCTCAGAATTTTTGCATTATCAGTAAACATTGAGAGGAATGATCTACCCTCTGGAAGATCGCTTACATATATTAGAAACAGGATGGTACCGAGCCCTGTGGGACTCCGCTGGTGACATCTCGCTGCTCTAATGCCCCCCCCCCCCTTCACAGTTATTCGTTGTTTCCTGTTGCTTAGATACGCCCTTATCCACTGGAGCACCTTCCTTTTTACTCCTGCCCGTTGCTCCAACTTTTGTAACAGCCTTTTATGGGGTACTGTGTCAAGTACCCCATAACCCCATGAACTCTGTATGGGGTTCGGCCGGTGCTAGTCACCCTGAGGGACTCCCAATAATCTGCCCATCTGTGCGTTTATTGGCAGCGAGGCAGATTAGTTTCCGCTCATAAGCTACATTCATTTCGCCATTCGGCTTCGCGATTAACCCTTCACGGGTACGCCGGGACGCATCCGATCCCATGAGCGTCGTCGCCCCTAAATCAACAAGGTATTCCCACAACCTGATTTGCCTGAGGGCCACTAACCCAAGTGGTCTCTGCAAGGACAAGAAGCCGACAGCTTGTTGAAGGGTCCCGCCATTTGCCTTGATCCTTTCCAGGTATATTTTGAAATTCGGCACAGTTTTGGCAGTTACGGCTTCGGCGGATAGGCAGTTCCATGGGTGAATAACCCTGTGGGTGAAAAAGCATTTCCTGTTCTCAGTCCTACATTATGGCTTGATGAGCTTGAAACCGTTGTTCCTTGCTTGTGTTACATCTGACCTGAAGAAAATATCCGGATCAACATCCTCTAACTTGTTCAGTATTTTAAGTTCGATGAGATCAGCCCTGTCATGCCTGGTTTGGTGTGTTGTTAGCCCTGTGGCCCTCAACCGTTCCTGATACTGGAGACGACTTAGCTCTGGCATGACTTTTGTTGCCCGGTGTTGCACCTTCTCCAGCTATGTTCTTCTGAAAATGAGGTCTCCATGTTTGCATACAGTAATCTAATCTAAGCACCAGAGGTTTGTACAGTTGAACCATTACCTTCTTTTCCTTATAGTCAAAAGTACGCTTGATTATCCCAAGAGTTTGGTTAGCTTTTCTGATTGCTGCACCCACCTGTTGTTCAACTGTTGAGTGTTGGATCTTGACTCCAAGGTCCCTTTCTTCATCAATCTGCTGTAATGTAATGCTATTTGGTAGTCGTGGCATGGGTTGTTATGCCGCACATGCAAGGTCTTGCATTTGTCGATATTAAAAAGCTTTCGCCAGTCTTCTGACCATTTGTGGAGTTCATGTAGATCTCTTTGTAAGGCTTTGTAACGGTTCTATTGTTACGTAAAGTATGGTGACAATAAACACAGACACTAAGATACTATATATATATTTGGTCGAATATACAGAAGTACACAGGTGATACTTTGGTGTGAGTTGAGCGCACTGAGCGTCGGTACAGTATCTCGCAAGTGTCTGCTCTAGACCACACTTGAAAGTAGACTAGTTAATGTTTGCTATTGTGCTGCTTATATGCTCGGGCAACACCTCACCGTGTTGCTCGGGCAACGCCTCACCTCATTCATCTCCAAAGGTTGACAGGAATATTAACAATGCATTTGGAGCGAGTATATTATTGGGATAATCTACTCGCTACAGCTTCAATATCGTTATCATTTCCCACTTTACCATAGATCTTTGTGTCATCTGCAAATTTGATGATGTGGTTTGTAATATTCTTTTCTATGTCATTGATGTATATGACAAAAAGGGTAGGTCCCAAAATGGACCCTTGAGGCACCCCACTTATCATTTCTCTATTGATTCGTTTCCATTTAGTACGACCCATTGTTTTCTTTCCTTCAACCATTGTTTTATTAATTTAAATATTTTACCATTTATTCCATGGGCCTCTAATTTCCTTGCCAATCTTTCATGTGGTTTCTTATCAAAAGCTTTAGCAAAGTCCACGTGGACTATATCCACCGGAAGGCCTTTGAGTAGCTGGTTACCTTTCCCACAAATGTGAGCAAATTTGTAAAGCAGGATCTGTTTTTAACAATTGTGTCGATTATACAAGGTTGTTCACTGAAAGATGGTGAATGATCCCCCTCCCTGAGGATGCTCTCAGAGCTTGCAGATGTGTGATGTCAGGCTGGTCGACCTGTAGTTTTCTGCTGGGCTCACTCGGCCTCTTGGCTCATATGGAGCTTCCGCGCTGTCGGCCCCCGCCTCGAGCTTCCGTGCTGTCGGCCCCCGCCTCGAGCTTCCGCGCTGTCGGCCCCCGCCTCGAGCTTCCGCGCTGTCGGCCCCCGCCTCGAGCTTCCGCGCTGTCGGCCCCCGCCTCGAGCTTCCGCGCTGTCGGCCCCAGCCTCGAGCTTTCGCGCTGTCGGCCCCAGCCTCGAGCTTCCGTGCTGTCGGCCCCAGCCTCGCGCTTCCGTGCTGTCGGCCCCCGCCTCGAGCTTCCGCGCTGTCGGCCCCCGCCTCGAGCTTCCGTGCTGTCGGCCCCAGCCTCGCGCTTCCGTGCTGTCGGCCCCCGCCTCGAGCTTCCGCGCTGTCGGCCCCAGCCTCGCGCTTCCGTGCTGTCGGCCCCCGCCTCGAGCTTCCGTGCTGTCGGCCCCCGCCTCGAGCTTCCGTGCTGTCGGCCCCAGCCTCGAGCTTCCGTGCTGTCGGCCCCAGCCTCGAGCTTCCGCGCTGTCGGCCCCAGCCTCGCGCTTCCGCGCTGTCGGCCCCAGCCTCGCGGTTCCGCGCTGTCGGCCCCAGCCTCGCGCTTCCGCGCTGTCGGCCCCCGCCTCGAGCTTCCGCGCTGTCGGCCCCCGCCTCGAGCTTCCGCGCTGTCGGCCCCCGCCTCGCGCTTCCGCGCTGTCGGCCCCCGCCTCGCGCTTCCGCGCTGTCGGCCCCCGCCTCGCGCTTCCGCGCTGTCGGCCCCCGCCTCGCGCTTCCGCGCTGTCGGCCCCCGCCTCGCGCTTCCGCGCTGTCGGCCCCCGCCTCGAGCTTCCGCGCTGTCGGCCCCCGCCTCGCGCTTCCGCGCTGTCGGCCCCAGCCTCGAGCTTCCGCGCTGTCGGCCCCAGCATCGAGCTTCCGCGCTGTCGGCCCCCGCCTCGAGCTTCCGCGCTGTCGGCCCCAGCCTCGAGCTGCTCTGCTCCAGGCTTCGTCTTAACTTCTACAACACTGCCAACAACCGACTGCTGTAACCTGATAAATGAATCTT